AGAGAGAGAGCGCCCTCTTATTTAAGATAATGGCGGTGGTGAAGGGTATGTGGTGGTTTGGTAGGGGGAAGTTATCGGAGGAGGTGGGAACCGGAAACGCCAATGGTGGGAGGTTTGGTTCACCAGCAGTGAATCGATGGATGATTAGATTAGGAAGCAAGGATCGATGAAGGTGAATGGTTAGACTGGGGAAGAGAGAGACCTTGGATATTAAATTTAATTTAAAAAAATAAAAGAAAAGAAAACCTCAAAAAAGGTACCTGTATAGTTAAATGACAAAAATACCCTTCATTTAACGGTAGAAAGCTAACGGAGTTAGCAAAAAGGACCAAACATCAAAAGTTTTGAAAGCACAGCGACCATCTATGACGTTTTTAAACCACGAGGATTAAACTTCAGATTTGGGGAAACCACATGATCATTTATGATGTTTTTTCTTTTTAGGCCGAAGAGTTTCAAACATGTTCTTTAGAAACATATTTTCGAACTCATTTTCCATACTAAAGGATGAACAAAGTACAAGTACGTGTCATTTTATGGCTGTTACTAATGAATGAGTATTTAACATCATAACTACCTTTTTTCCACATTTAACAAAATAATAAATTGTTTTGCAATTATTTATTTCGAAAGCACTTTATATTTGAAATGGTTTTTTGCACGGTCTTAAAACTGAAAAATAAATTTATATATATTGCGTGTTACATGATTTTTATGGATTTTGTGTGTGTGTGTGTGATAAATTAAAAAGTTATTTCACAGCATAAATAGTAAGCTAAATGCTTATTCCATTAAATGTAGAAAATACTGGTAAATAAAAAACAAGACACTACTAACGACCATAAGAAATATATACGACACCACTCAAGTTCAAAATTTTAAGGCCGAAGAGTTTCAAACATGTTTGTTAGAAGCGTATTTTCGAACTCATTTTCCATACTAAAAGATGAACAAACTACAAGTACATGCCATTTTATGGCTGTTACTAAGCAATATATAGCAAATAATCCATAAATTATAACAACAAAAAATCAAAATAACAGTTTATAACATGATCCGATAAAAACTTGCACATGTATGCTTCATCAGCATATGTTCGAAAGTCGAAACTACTTTCCCGAGTATACGAAGATAATGACACCCCAAAAGACAATGTTTATGCACATAATATGCAAAACATAATATAACTTACAATATAAATAGTATATATGGAGATTTTCAAATTGAAACCATCTCATAGAAAAACATAGAAATTAAGTTAAAAAATGTTAAAAATTCGAACTACATGGTTTATCTAGACTATGGAGCTGTTTTTTTTTTTTTTTTTCATATAAAGGTAAATTTGAAACAAGTTGAAGTTATTTTTTTTCATCAAAGGTAAAAATGTAGTTGCATAATTTAAAACTCGCCTTCTATATTTTTCCCCTTAAACTCTCACGTTTAGCTAATAACGACCCCAAGATAGGCTAGTTCCACATTCAAAACGCAATTTCAAATATTATTTATTTAAAAAAAATGTAACACCTCTAGTTCAAAGTAAACTTCGAAAAGCCATTTGATGATCAAAGTCTAACAGTTAATTACCATTATACATCAACTTTCTCAGAACATTAAACATCCCAAACATAAATGTGATCAAGAATCCCAAAAATTGCCAACTTTCAAACTTGCTTCAAGTATCTTAATCTTCCATTTTCCAATACACTTTGTGAGCATACTGATGATGATGAATGAAGTCAGGAATTCTTGGAAGCTAATAATGGCATTCGATCTGTTGTTAAAAGAAATGATGGAAGAAAAGATGGGATCACAAATGCCACACCCAAACAAATAATTACAAACATCACAACCCACCAAGCCTTGTGTGGAATACCTAACACTAGTTCATCACAAACTGCCATTCAAAATAAATTCGTTAAGTAATTTAAAAAAAAACAGATGATAACAAGCTGCAATAATAAAAGAGACTAAATTACAAATATGGTCCTCTCATGGTAATGCATTTTTTTTTATGAAACCCTGCAGTAGGGACCAAAACTGATAACAGATTCTCTTTTCGACCTAATTCATAAAAAAAATCTCATACCACAGGGACTAAATTTGTAAATTTAATGTTAACTAAATAAAAGTTACCTATGTTATATATAACCATTTCCCTCTCCTTTCCATTTGGGATAGCAACCACCCCCTCAGTCTCCACAGTCAACATGACATACATTCCACTCTAATAAAACAAGAAACCAAAATTACTACTTCTCAAAATAAATAAATAAAAATTAAGTAATAAAACACTATGAAAGAGATATTTAAGCTTAAACCTGGTAAATTTGTAAGTCTTCATCATCATTCTTGAAAATCAACTTTTCAGTATTGAGTAATTTCCTCTGTTGCTTTGATTCTAAGTTTGAATTTTCCTTTTTAAGTTGTAATGAAAAGCTAGCGGGTATCTGATATTAAATATACCAAGTTTTTGTTAACTATAATAATAATAAAAAAGCTAAAAGATTATGTATTATTATTATTATTATTATTATTATTATTATTATAATATACCTACAGAAGCAGGATATGATATCTTCACTTCATACCAATGATTTGGCTTAAGGCCTTGAAGTTGGTAGACACGGGATCCTGATTGTAATGGTAGGGTTTCCTTTTGCAATTCTTCCCCGACATTTAAAATGTCCAAATTAGCCCTGTAATTGGAATATTTTAAAAATATAATTGCTGGAAAAAGTTGCTAAAATGTAACTGACTTATTAAAACAAGTATATACTAGAATTTAGAAAGTACCCGTATACAGTTTGTAGGAGTATTATGCAAAGCAAGAAGCAAAACTTGTGAACAATTGCATGATGATGTATCCAAATCAGCATTTCTGTAATGTTAACAGTCCACGCAAGCTGCCATGTCAGCTTTCTTAATGATAATGAATCCAAAAAGCACTGGCTCAACTTTCAAGGCAATTGATTTCGATTGCTTAATTGTAAAATTGAAACTTCACTTGCTAAATTTTTAAGAAAATGGGAAATGTAATCACATATAAAGAAGGTAATCTCTCTCAGGCATTTGATCAAACAGCTTGCATGCAATCTGATTTCTAATCTTTTGGTCATTCTAAGCAATCTGATTTCAAACCTTTCTATTAATTTTGATCGATTTTTTCATCATCTAAACTTTGGTTCCTCAGAAATCCAAGTTATAAGACTAAACAAATCAAGACACTTCATAATCAGAAAAGCTAGATGAACATGGTTATTAACATCAATCGATGACCCCAGACAACAAACAATTAGAAACATGAACAAGAAACACGAAAGTAGAAAAAGTTGAAGAAAAATGGAACCTGTAGCTGTGGGGTGCGAAGGTCTCTAGTCGTTGATACGAATCTGCTTCAATTCATCTCCCTCGTCGCTCTTGATACGAATCTGCTTCCTTTCCTGGATTGGAAATGTAAAGGGGCTGGTATATGATATAATGTGGGCTCAATTGCTAACTTATATATTTTGGGCTAATACTTGGATCACTTCAATAATGTTTAGGCTAACAATTTATATCATCACCATGATTCCAAAACTCCAACTCCCCAGTATATTTTAATATTTAACTCTAAAATAAAAAAATAATAATAAATAAAACAAATACTATTTTATTTTCAACCCTACTAGCCTACTCAAATTTTTCGTTCAAAAGATGTATTGTTTAGTAATATTCCTTTTTTCAATTTATAAAAATTATCAAACCTTTCGACATATTAGATTTTAAAATATATTCATAATTTATATGAATTCCATATAAAAATATTTTATTTTATATTTTTATTTAATTAATATCATTTAAAGTGTAGGTAGTTAATTAAAACAAAAAAAATGATAAACTTAAATTGTAAAGGACTAAAATTGACAAACGATAGTTCACTTCCATTTTGAAGTAAATAAAAAGGATTACTCCATATTTAGAGTTATACTATCCATTTACTCAAAAAATGGATTGGAGATGGTTTAACTAGAAAATAGAGAAATTAATGGAGTTTGGAGTTCCCAGATAGGGGTGTTTAGAGTTCCTTATTTGAAATAATTTATGTTTATTTTTTGAAAATGTCTATTAGCTTATTTGTTATTAAAATCAAGTTTTATAAAAAAATGTTTAGCTTTATTTATATGGTATCAAAATGAAATAAACTGCTAAATTATTTTTCAGTGTTTGACAATTTCAACTTATACCTATAAAAATGTCAAAAAAGGATACACTAATTTATTATTGACTTATCTGTTTATTTTTTACATATACTTTTCAAACTCGTCTTAATTCGTTCCGAAGTTTGTTTGTTTGTTTGTTTTTGGTTTTGTTTTTATTTTTGTTTTGTTTTTGTTTTGTTTTTTTTAATTATTATTATTATTATTATTATTATTAATCTCTACATGTTACCAGGCAACTTCAATGATAGATATTTGGATGAATATGCCAATTTAAATTTATTTGTTTAGATAAATCGATTTAGGTTGCATTTTATGTTCAACATGTTACTTCGGAAAAATCAAAAATAGATACTTGGATGAATATGACAATTTAAATAAGAAATCAAAGACAACCTTGTAAAATCAAAGAAATCAAAGCATTACATAAGAACAAAACAAGTGATATAAGACGAACTTATCAAATATCATCCAAAATGTATTATGAGATTAGCATATTTAGTTATTAACTATATGTAAAATTTTGAAAAATATAAAAAATATCAATCCATTTTAACTAGTACTAAAAAAATTAATATATGTATATATGCATGAAGTATGAACACCCTTAAATGTTTTCATATATGCCTAGTAAACAAAAATATGATAAATAAAAGGTGTGTTCATATGACGAATCAGAGAGAGCTAATGTGAACGATATAATTTCCTACCAAAAACATTAAAAGACATGAAGAAAAGAACAAGTGGTTGATGTTTTAGTTGACTTTATATACTTAAAACAGTGGTTGAATCATTTGTGAATATTGAGGAAGTTTGAATTTTGTCTCCATGGCCTCCATCAAAATGAGAAGTGCTTCCATCATCTTCATCTTTATTTGTGCTATCTTCATAATGCAAATGGTTTTGCTCGCTGCAGGTTTGTTTTATTATTCTAACTCTCTTAATTTTCCCTAATTATCTTTTTGGTATTAATATGATAATAATTCTCTTAACTTTCATGTTCATATTTGTTTACAACTGATGGATAATATAATGATGATAAATATTACAGATCAAGGGGGGTCATTCAGAACCGAACGATATGATCCAAGAGCACCACCAACACCACAAGGAAACCCACGTCATGGCATGAATCCACCTGACTCCCCGCCACCAATTTATACTTAAGTTTGTGTTTATATTGATCGACAATTACCTTGTTAATTAAGCTTGTGTGTTGTTTGTTTTAAAGAAAAAAAAAACATAGACATGGTTGTTGGGTATGTAACATTTTATAGCATGTAATGTGATTGTGAATCATGCAGCTCGATAGTTTATTATTGTTGTTTAGGCAATCTTTTAAGTTCATGTCATATACAATTAAAGTTAAAAATTGAGAATCATACAATGCATTGTCTTCAATCTTACAACTAACAATGAAAGGTACTCAGATGTTCATCCTAGATATTCAGATTTCAGAACAGATTCAAGATGTCGAACTCCAAATCCTAAGGCAAACCAATAAATCTAAAAAATCAGACCTCCTGAATCAAAACACATAAAGTCGATTTGAGATTTGAATAAGAAAAATAGCGGTTGAGACCCAAAAGCAAATGTCGAAATCCAACTCACACAAACAAACCGCAGATTAAGAATAATACAGTTGAAAGATAAATATGGTAATGCCTCCTGGAGACCTCTCTCCTGATACCAATTTCGAACAGAAGAATACTACATGAGGATGAGCGGTGATGACAGTCGATTTAAAGAGGAGGAGTCGGCTTCTACAACAAGTTTTTCTAGCTTGGATTGGAAAAAGAAGAGAAATCAGAAAATTAGAATAGGAATTAAGGATTAACGATTCATATATATATATATATATATATATATATATATATATATTCTAGTCGTGTACCAGCGCAAAGCGGCGGCGCCAAATAGTGTTCAGACAGTGATTAATTTATATAAATGAATAGGTTCTTTACGGCTATTAGGTCAAAGCATAAAAACCATTAAGTATTAACAAAGTTCCAAACGTTGATTGATTAATCTATTTATGCATCACTTCTTATCGAATTGCAATTAATGACTTCATATGTTAACTCTAAACAACTGTAACATAATAACCATTAAAGTTATCATTTTGTTCAAAAAAAGAAAAAACATTAAAATAATCATCTTTTTGCAATGTTTTTTGCCGAAAATGTCTTATTTTCTTTTGGTTAGTAGCTTGGAAGCGTTGAACAATTTTCTTTCTAAAAACTTCTTATTTCAAAAAACAAATAATGTATCAACAAATTATTCATTCATGATTTTGGCATTAAACATGTTTTAAAACTATATTTCTAAAAACTATTAAATTTTGTCTTTTTAATACGTTACTTTTATATATGAGTATAATAGTCATCTAATCAGATATAGAAAAATTAGTTAGCCCATAAAAAAAAATTATCTATTCAAACATAATAACTCATTAAGTCATGTTACTCCATACTTGACTTAATGTAAAAAATAGGGTTATTGTTAGAAAAGTTCCATATTTTGCACTAATATATGAAAAAGTCCAATTTTTATCTTTTAAACAAAAAGTCGAGATTATCAAATATTTTGTCCAAATTAATAGAAAAGTTTTAGTTTTTTTTTAACATAAAATTACATATTATCATGTAAATTATAATTAGAACTTTTATATTAAAAAAAGTTATGACTTTTCCACAAACTTGGTCAAAATAATAGGATTTTTTAACAATAACTTGTAAAAAATATAACCATAAAACAAAAAATGTAAATAACCATGATTCTAGCAAACTTATGAGGTGGAGTGTTTGTTTGCTCTCTATTTCCATTTATATACATCTAAGGTTGATTAAGTATTTATTTAATCCTCTTTTTAAGGATAGTTCTACTTCTTTTTAAGCAAACAATAAAACCAATATGTTTCCAAGGAAACATGCATTTGTTTTGTAAGATACGTGCCCTTCTCCCTATTGAATCGAAATATAACATCACAGTAAGAGTTTCATAATTACACATCTTGAAATGGATAATTAAGAGCTCTAATTATACTCCATTATCATTTTCACTATCATGTTGCAATTGATGGATTAAATAGCAAGTTTTGTGGGCCACAAAGACTTCTTTATAAAAATCATAACTTTGGATGTAAACTACAATAAGGAAAAGTCAACAGTCAACACCATTGTGTATACAATGGTGGATCTCTTATTTGCAACAATTGCAAGAATATCTCAATTGGTCGTCAAATACCTTGGTATATGACAAACCTTACCAAAAAACCTGACTTTGATCTTGCCATCCGTATGCATGGCCATTCACCCCTACTTGATAAAAACATTATACTACTCACTAAGTTCCTTTTCCCTTTATCTTCTTCAAAAAGAGATTTTGATGTTTCATCTTATTTCAAGTCTTTACCTCAATAGGAAGTTTTCAGAAACAATTATGCGTAATGGGCATGTGATCTGTCCTACATAAGCTATGGTAATAAGAAATATAATAGATATTAGCATGCTTACAAGCTTCCCGTGTGAAACTATAGCCAATGCAATCGAAATCCCTTGTAATTCAATTTAATCATTAGCTTTTGAATCAACAATTGAAATTCAAATTACAATTCAAAGATAAGAATTACACGTCACCTACTAAAAAGAGATTATAGCACAAATATTAAAGAAATTGTGTGTTCATGAAATTTACTGAAGATTGGAGGCCAAAGTGCGACTGCCACACCAATATTGTTCTTTTCTGAAAAAGTACATAACCTAATTTTAGAAAACTAAATAAAAGATATTTGAAATCTTATATTTTTTTTCCTTTTAATACAATATTACCTTTGTGGGAGAAGTACTTGTGTCTATGTGAATGTTGGGGTGCCATCCATTAATCACATATACAGATCTGCACACGAAATCTATAATAATGTGAGAAAAACAATGTAAAAACAAAGTAGCCCTTAGAAAATACTTCAACAAACAATTATATAATAAACCTCATTAAAATATAATTTTACAATGAAAACCAATGATGTACACCCTGCACCATCAAATAAAATATAAATTCACAAGAAATAAAGGTGATTTTGATGCTTCCCTATAAATGATTAAATTAACTGGAAACAAATTAGAACTAAAACCAGGAAATATGACCAGTAAGCAAGGTCTGCTATCTACATGACCCACATATTAGGCCATCTATGTGCCTCACCTTCTCTGTTTCGAATCACCATCTTCAATACAGAGTTGAATTTGGAATGTTATTTGAAACAGAGAGCAAAGACTGGACAATTTTGTATGTATATTCAAACGGTTGCAGAAAAAAAAAAGCAAATGAGTAGAAATGATGAAGATATATACCTATAGGACCAATGGAGTATGAAATTTGTCTTTGGATTGTGCATGAATTTGAATCATCAAAACTTCATAATCCAGCAAAGCATGCCTGAAGCTTGGCTATGCCATATTTATTATCAAGAAACCTGCCCCCACATGATAAATACAACACAAATCACCAAAAACTCATCTTAAGTTGAAAATTACATCTAGAGTACATTAGGTTTTGCAAGCTCATGCTGAACTTTCTTGGTGTCAGTTAAATACTAAAAGCTTGAAGAACACTTCATACCTTTCCACTCCTACAAGATTCATAAACATTAAATTGACAAGAAAAGAATATGATTAAAAAATATTTGAAAGAAAATTTTCAAGAAATGTCTACTCACAGATTCAGAAGCATAATCGTTAGGTGCATATTTGATTCTAAAATATACAACTGGAACAGTTTCAACATCCATGCAAGTAAGTTAATTTTCAAAATTTTGTTGGTGTTCGAAGATAGTTTGCCCAAATTACAGAAATACCAATATACATACACACATAGCTTTAATGAGATTGACATACACACATTTGTACATATTTATACATCATAAACATGTAGCCTGTACAAATTTATCCGATTGTAATACATATATTTATACATACAAACAAATTTGTCCACACATAGCTTTAATCATCAACATAAAAATGAAAAATAAACGAAAGAAGTACCTTTGAGTTCAGATTCCCGTCCGACTAAAAGGGAAAGTAGAAAATTAATTTAGCAGTTTCACAAACCTACATAAATGGAAAAGAAAACAAATCAAATTAAAACCAAAATCGGAAAACTTCATATTCTAAAAGTATAATCAAAATTACACAATGTAGACGGTGGTTGCTCATAATTTCCATAGTTAGGGTTTATTTGATAGAGTAATACATAGAGAGATAGAGAGAAGAAAGAGATGTTGATGGTGCATTGGTGGTTAAGTAGAGATAAGAAGGAAGTACCAGACTCTCAGTGAGATTCATTGCTTGAGGTATCAGAAAAATGGAGGCGGCAGTGATCTAACAACGTTGGATGCAGTGACAAATGCCAGAGTTTTTGTTCGTGCAAACGGTAATGTGAGAAAGTGAGAGGAAAAAAAGAGATCGAAAGTTCTTCCAATTTGAATGAGTCTCCACTAAATCTCGGATTGACCGATTCAAGTGGGTGAAGATGAAGAGCCAATCTGATTTAATTGGGTGAAGATGAAAAGCAGGGTCAATATATGCATAATTTAAGATATTTGCTCAAGCGTATTTGGATTAAAAAGCTTTCAAATTTTGAAGAATATCAGATTTATAAGGATTAAAAAAAGTGGTTAAAATTTAATATTATTTTACTGATGGTTAATTGTACAACTAGTTTAATGGTTTGGACGTCTTAAAAAAATAATAATATTATATTCAGTATATTTTTAGAAATAGATAGATTTCTTTTATAAGACAGTATATATATATATATATATATATATATATATATATATATATATATATATATATATATATATATATATCAGGTAGGAGACTTATGTACTATATCAGTTTATTTAAAAAAAAAGTTAAATGACATTCTAAACATTTGAGAAGTTTGAATTTATAAGAAAAACGATAAAAATATTGAATACTATGTGAAATTTAATAAAGGGAAAAAACATAAAATGACATGTTGAAAAATGAATAAGAATGTGACATATAGCCAAAAAGATCTTTTATATATATATATATATATATATATATATATATAAATAATGCAGTGGTGATCCATGTTTCTATACCGATTTATAATGCATATATATAATAGAAGCCCAAAAGTTTTTAAGACCAAAGTGTTAAAAATAAGGAGGTGAAATATGAACCTTAGATTTAATTTGAATGGTATGAATTATTATGTACTGGTGATCCATATTAAAAAGTTTAAGCCAATCATTTACACTATAAATACAATTAATCAGTCGTACAACGCATTGTTGCATCTCACTCTTGGTCCGATAAAACGTTTTTTGTGGATTACATGGATCCTAAACGACCTCTCTTCCAGCTGTAGCGGTATCTATCTCAGATGTGGCGCTTAGTTATACGAGCTTTTTCTTTACCCTAGATGACCTTTCATCCTCCAATCTTCTAAAACATACAATAAGTTCACATACATTGCCTCATTACCCCCTTCGATATCCAAGATTCTCCATTGTCGACATCCCCTTCATCCACCAAGAGTCGCGATCATGTTTGTCGTCGTCAACCACGAGAGGCTTCTCTTTATCCGGTACTACATCTCTCTTCTTGTGGTTTTCGTATTTTCTGGATTTTAGCTGTGTCCGTCACCGGGATCATCTCCCTTGATCATAATACACCTATGCTACTATTATAAAAGTCACCCCAATCTCTCAATCCCCCCCCCCCTCTGACTACACCCTGTTCCTACAACCTTCGCTGCCACGGTCCTTGACACCACCATGCACGTCTCCCTAGTTACCACCACAGTAAAGTCTTTAAAATAGTGCTTCTACCACTGTTACTGCTCCCTCTTCACTTTGTTACCATCAATCACCACCGCCATAGCCTATTCTTCACCTTCAGAAAAAGCCCCAACCATAACACCTCCTCTATTATAGAAAAAACACTGAGGTTTCTGTCTTAAAATTGAATATATGATCTATCTAATGTATATTGTTGTGTAGAATTTCGATATGAACTTATGTTTTCTTTGAACTTGCTGTAGAAAAGATTTTGGAACTGCATAAATAGGTGTTCCTAGAAGAAGTGGACATCATAAGGGGAAGATTTCTTTAAAGATGGAGTATGTAGCTGTCTAGCTGAGTATGGACCAGAAAAATAGAGTACAATTCTCAAAGCATTCTAATATCAACCTAAGCTTGAAGTGGGTTTTTTTTATATACACATACTGTTGTAAATGGATTATATGATCCAATTTGATAGGAAACATAGATTAGGATAAATGGAGAAATATGAACTTAGCGTGTAGTGGATATGGTCTTATGGTACTTACCAAGGATACGAGTTTTGTTAATGTGTTAAGTATGGAATATTGGCATTGGCATACTTCTGTTTGGAAGGTACAATAAAATGTAAAAATCACTATTATATAATGTATCATATTGCAATTTTTTTTTGCTTTTTATAGCAACATACTTTCTTTTTCTTATTTTACAATATTGTACTTTTTTGGTATATAATTACTTTAAATTTAACCTTCAAAGTTGTGTTGTTGAGGATTGATTAAATATATTTCATTTTAAACATGGGGTATGAAATTGAAGTTCAATTTCTTAAAATGTCAAACATAACTTGCTCAACCGATCAGTTTATGTTTAACTGCAAAGTTGAGGGCCTGTTTTGAATGCTCTTAATGGCAGTATATTGCAACATTGTTTAGGTAATTTGGTGTTCCTTCTTGGTACTGATCCATAAGTATAATTTTAACCTGTGTTGTGTAATAAAATATGATGAATTTGTGTTATATTGGAAAATTGTGTGTATAATATCTCTAAGTCTGGTTCTCTCTCAAGCCCCTCTGATTAGTTCTTCTCCTATTAGCTCCTTCTCAAGATTGGATTCAATAATATTCTTAGAGTAGGTATATGAGAGAGTAGAGTTAGGTTTATGTATTGATGATTGGTTGTAACTTGAAAAGAAATTGGTCACTAATAATAATGACTGTTTATGTTGTGATTCAGCTTGTTTTACGTGTTTGTTCATTAACCCTTCCAAGTTTTGATTAATTTGTTGACAGATTACATTTTGCTAAAAAAGAAAATCTCATTACTGTTTTTGCAGGTAATGGAACAACTTCTTCTAGTGAAGTACTCAATTTACAAATATTGGGCAGAAATCATGGAAGTGCTGCTTTTTGAGTTTATTTTTTTTTATATAAATGTTATAATTCTTAGAATTATGTTCTTGGCGATGAACGAATAGTATCTTCTTGATAAACTTTGATTGTAAACCATGTCAAGCGGAGTTTTTAGAGTTATAAATGAGATTATTGTTAAACTATTTTAATTTTTTTTTACTAACAAACATTTTCGAGATGGTTTTTAAACATCACATTAAATAATAACATATTAAAACATTAAGAATATCGAACAAACTTCATGGATGCGAGACTAGACTAAATCTTGAAATATTTGTATTTAAGAATATTATTGATTGAGAATTTATAAATTCTCTATTTATAGAAAATAAAATACAAATATTATTTTCAATTGCATAAACCTCAAATATGGTCTTTATGGTTAGTAGGCTTTCTTTGGTTAATTTTAAAATATTATGAACTTTGTAAAATGTTTATCAACAAAATCTTGAACTGATTTTCATTTTCGTAATTATAGTTATTAAATACGACTTATTGAGTGATAACCGAAGTAAAAGCCTTTTGGTAACAAAATCTTGAACTGATTTTCATTTTCGTAATCTTGATTGCTTTACTCTCGCTTTTTTCACAACCCTATCAAATAATCGCAAAGTAAAAACCAGGACATTAGAAGACACCGAAAATAAAACTATTTGACCCTTGTGCTTACATACCTAGCTAGAAATCGTTTGCTGAAAGCAATTGTCCGACACAAAAGAGTCTGCCAAAAGGGCAAAAGGAACTATCCGATACAAAAAGAAAAATAATTGTTGAATGGAAACTATCCGTCGTAAGAAACTATATCGCGTCACTGCATCGCGCGGGTACCCCACTAGTATTAATGTGTGTGTGTATGTGTGTGTGTGTCTATATATATATATATATATATATATATATATATATATATATATATATATATATATATATATGGCGGAGTTATTTTGCGAACCAAAAAAAAGTGTGAACTTGCGAACTCATAATCAAATCATCATTTTTCAAAACCAAAATCATCAATCTTTTCCAAATGGTGCGTCTAAACCATATCTAGACTAAAAATAATTGACAATTTATTTATTTATTTTCGAAATTTGCATGTATGCACAGTGAGCAGTCTATAGGATTGTTGATGGGTACAATCAGCCGTCATATGGACTGCTGATGTGCACAATCAGCAGCCATATGAATTGCTGATGAGCAATCAACAGTCCATATGACTGCTCATTGTGCATATCCGCAGTCCATATAACTATTGATTGTGTTCATCAACAGTCTATCTGACTGTTGATTGTGCTCATCAACAGTCATACAAAAAAATCGTCAATTTTTTTATATTTTATTTTGAGCCTAGAAATGGCTTAGATGCACAATTTGAAAAGATTGGTGTTTTTGGTGTTGAAAAATGATGAGTTGATTATGATTTCACAAGTTCTCACAAATCTTTTGGTTCTCTCTCTCTCTCTCTCTCTCTCTATATATATATATATATATATATATATATATATATATATATATATATATATATATATATATATGGGAAAAGTGAATATACATTACAGCCCCACCTAAGCTTAGGTACTAAACCTCATGAAAATACGTTGTTTTACTATATAAAGATTACGATTAGGTTACCACTTGAAGTTGTAGTTTCATAATATACATAACAGTTTTGATAAGGAAGCAAGAACGTTGATTATCTTCCTCCTTCGTGACGATGGAAAACAATATTGTTCACTAGGGTGAAGTAAAAACGATAATGAAGGAAAAAAAACAATGATGGTAAAACGATAATGGAGGGAAGAAATGTTATTAGGGATGATATATTTACCAAGTGAAAACCAAATCGAGTATAACTACTAAGTTAAAACGATATATTTTAGAGGTTTAGTACCTCCGAAATCATATTTACACGTTTCGAAGATCGACACGTAACCCACCTTCCGAAACGACGCCATGGACATCAACATCCATTCAGACCATCTCATTTTTCGTTGTGTCGTATCGATTGATCAACGATGGCAGTAATTGATTTCATTTTTCGCTTCATCGCATATTCTTTGTCATTTTTAATTGCTCAAATAGGGGTAAGGGTTATCCGACGCCTTAACTGACTTACGATGATGGATTCTTAAAAAGTTGTCTTTCTTCAATTCATCACATATATATTTTTGGAATTACTGGAGGAGAAAACCAAGGAAGATGGCATAAAGAACGTCTCTTCTCCATCTGTCATTCTTTGATATTGGTACAATTTCATATATTTTTTTGGTTAAATTTCTCCACCTTTAGGATGAACCCTAAATTTATTTTGTGGTACTATATGGACACTGAAAACGTTGTTAGTTATTTATCATGGGTAAGGAGAAAATTGATCACCATTATCTTTAGGATGAAAATTTTCATTCT